CGATTTATAACCGAAAAAATGGACTTGTCTTAACTTTATGGTTTTAGCGGAGAAAAAAATATTTGTTTAAAAATTTCTAAGTCATTTGGTCTCATGTGTTAATGGAACCTTCCGGCAAACTTCGCAACCAAGTTTTGGCACATTCTTTCAAAGAAAAAGGAAATAGCCTTAACTTGATAGCTTCAAGAGGTACTCCATTATACTTAGCTGTTTTAACAAGTTCCAAAAAGTCAATTAAATGACTGTGGATCTTCACTTGCGTCTCTAATGAAGATGCGAGACTGTTAAATTGTTTGAATTAGGTCAGTCCTAATTTCAAAGTTGTTGGCTGCCACTGGGGGTTTTCTGACACTAGATTCACAGTTGAAGCGGTCAGGTCTAGCTCTTTTCATAGTATTATGATTTCCTGCTATTTGCTTAAACTGACTTACTTGCACCTTCTAATTGTCAATTATTGGATTGGTCTCACTGTGTAGTATTACTTGTGTAGATTCCTATGTTTTACAAGGTTTCCTTTTTGGTTCAGTTTGGTATTTACTGATCGTAAAGGTTTTTGTGGTTTGAACTATTGATTTGACTATGCACATTGAGTATTTGGTACTGATATAGTAGGATCAGGCTGCACGCCGTAGCAATTGTAATAAGGGTGGATTGATATGGTAGAATAAGGGTGAATTTGTACTGTACGGTGGGATCGGCTTTCGTGCCGCAACAGATGGAATAAGGGTGGATTGTTATGGTGAAATAAGGGTGAATTATGATACTAACATCATTGTATGGTGGGATCAGGTTGGGTGCCGCAACATATCTATATATTATTTGATGTTGTTGATGTTATTACGGTGAAATAAGGGAGGATTCTGTGTTGTCCGGTAGGATCGGGTTGCGCATCGCAACAACCTATATGTTTCTATTTCCTTGACCTGTGTTGGTTTTCGGTATTGTTATTTGAAATTCTAAGGATTCTTAATTCTGGACGATACTGGTTCATTTCTTGAGGCTGTAATTATTATTTTCAGTTGACTGTTTAATCCTGTTATGTATTTCTATTTCTGTGATTATTTTATACTGCGTACAGGTTGTAGTGTAGGTGACCCGCCTTAGCCTCGTCACTACTTCATCGAGGATAGGTTCGGCACTTACAGAGTACATGGCGTCGGTTGTACTCATACTACATTCTGCACTTCTTGTGCAGATTTTGGAGTCGGTCCCAGCTACAGTTATCAGTGAGCTCGTATTGGACAGCGTGTAGAGACTTAAGGTACAGCTGCTCAGCGCCCGCAGCTCCTAGAGTCCCCTTCTTTATTTTTATTTGGCTGTGTATCTTCTTTTCAGACAGCTTTATGTTATTTCAGACCCTTGTATGTACTATTCTAGTAGCTCATGCACTTGTGACATCAAGTTCATGGATATTTTAGACGTTTGGTTGTTTTAGCTTCTCCATTATTTAATTTGGATTATTGCAGTTAAATTAGTTCTTATTCATTATTAAATTTTAAACTGTTTAAAAGGATAAATTATTCTAACGTTGGCTTGCCTAGCAAGTGAAGTGTTAGGCCCCATCACGGTTCCGGCGGTTGGAATTCCGGGTCATGACATCCATATTGTTCCGTTCGTTCCTTTTCTCTGCTGTGTTGATGTTTCATGAATAATGGTGTTGAGTTGTTTATGTTGATTAATTGATATTGGGGGATCGGGTTACACGCCACAACGAAACAGGAAATGATATGATATAATGTGAAATATTGTATGTTGAGAAAGATATTGTGTGAAACTTGGGATCGGGTTGCACGCCGCAACGGATTTGATGTGTAGTAGTTGTGTTGTGGCTATAGATTTTATTCCTGATATTGTGATACGAGGTTTGAGATTCTGTTTTTCTGGGGCCCTCTGGTAATTGACCTTCGGATTAGTTTATATGAGTTTACTATTTTATTTCGATCATGTTTTCTGTAATTATTATTTCGTACAGGTTTATTGTGAGTGACATGCCATAGCCTCATCACTATTTCATCGAGGTTAGGCTCGGTACTTACAGAGTACATGAGGTTCGTTGTATTCATGCTACACTTCTGCACTTCTTGTGCAGATTCCGGTGTTGGTCCTGGCATGGAGTGGAGACTGCTCGAATTTGACAGTTATAGGAGACTTGAGGTAGAGCTGTTGGTGTTCGCAGTCTCTAAAGTCCCCTTCTACCATGCTTTACTGTTATTCTAGTTTGAGACAGTATTATGTCTTCCTTCAGACCATGTTTGTAGTATTCTAGACGCTCATGTACTTGTGACTCCGGATTTCTGGGAGTAGTTTAGTATCGCGTTACTTCTAATAACACTATGTTCATTTGTGAATTTATTAATTGTTAATTATCATCACCTTGTTATAATTGCTAAAACATGTTAATTAATTACCTAATGTTGGCTTGCCTGGCAGGTAGATGTTAGGCGTCATCACGGCCTCAATAATGGAACTTCGGGTCGTGACAAAATATTCATATGAGTGTTAGCATGAATATGAACGACTAGCTTAGAATAATAATGTGGGTGATTTTTAAAAATAGCCAGATTTACAACTGGTCGTTCAAAAATAGCCCAATTTCAAAAGTAATCGAAATTTAGCCACTTTTTATATAAAGATAAATCTGACCGAAAAACACTGTTCAAAACCCGGAAAATACTCCAGTATATTATGCTGGAGTTCCAGCAAAAGTATACTTGAACTCCAGCATATTATACTGGAGTTCCAGGATAGTATGCTAGAACTCCAGCATAATATGATGGAGTTCCAGCATAAATACACTAGAACTCCACTATAATATACTGGAATTCCAGCAAGCATAATGGTCCAGTATAATATACTGGAGTTTGGAGCACCAATGCTCCAGTCTCCAGTATATTATACTGGAGCCAGCAAAGTATACCGGTCCAGCATAATATGCTGGAGTTCATACACAAGTGCACCGAACTCTAGTATATTATGCTGGACAGGTCTCTATTGTAGCAAAACGGTGGCTATTTTTCACTGACTTGGTAAACACTAGCTATTTTTGATTGACCAGTCCGAAAACTGGCTATACCGTGAAATTTTTGGTGATTTTTAAAAATAGCCAGATTTAAAACTGGTCGTTCAAAAATAGCCTAATTTCAAAAGTAATCGAAATTTAGCCACTTTTATGTAAAGATAAATATGAGCGAAAACACTGTTCAAAACCCGAAAAATACTCCAGTATATTATGCTGGAGTTCCAGCATAAGTATACTTGAACTCCAGCATATTATACTGGAGTTCCAGGATAGTATGCTAGAACTCCAGCATAATATGATGGAGTTCCAGCATAAATACACTAGAACTCCACTATAATATACTGGAATTCCAGCAAGCATAATGGTCCAGTATAATATACTGGAGTTTGGAGCACCAATGCTCCAGTCTCCAGTATATTATACTGGAGCTAGCAAAGTATACCGGTCCAGCATAATATGCTGGAGTTCATACACAAGTGCACCGAACTCCTGTATATTATGCTGGACCGGTCTCTATTGCAGCAAAACGATGGCTATTTTTCATTGACCTGGTAAACGCTGGCTATTTTTGATTGACCAGTCCGAAAACTAGCTATAACGTGAAATTTTGGCTTCTGTCTATTTTTGTGTGGGCTTTCATCAATAATTGTTGGGTTTTGTCTGAATTCTAGCCCAATTCCAATTAACACTATTTGTATGGGCTTACCTTTCAGAATAATGACTTTTCTCGTAAAATTATAGTTGTTGTTTCCTTAAGTTATTGATCTTTTAAATATTGTTCATACTTTTATTTAATTGCAACAGTAAGCTTTTTTTCGACAAAAATAATATAAAGTTTTAATATTAAAAACTTAAAATTCTTGTTTGACGGTGAAAACTTGAAGTTAACGATAATTACTGTTAAAATTATTTGAACGTTGATAATTTACGCTTAAATTTTTAATTCAAATGCTACTTTAATGATTTGCTTTAAAAATCTCAAAAATCAGTTGTTGGTCCTTAGAAAGTGTTGAAGAAAACAAAATATGATCTTCTTTGATTTGATATCAATTGACTAAATTGGTGATAATGGATCGCTTTTGTTGGTGTTTGAAGTAGGTTTTTTGACATTTGAGATCATCTGGACTATATTTGAGGTGATTTGATCGAGATTAAAATTGTAATTAGAAGAAATACTTTGTTGAACAATATAGAAAAAGTATGCCAAACGAGTAGACTTAGATGAACAATTTAATAGTTTGCACAAGGCTAAATAGATATAACATTCTTTATTAACTTACTATGAAAAAATAAGCACAAAGTTATGCCAATTAGGTAAAGTTTGTAAATAATTTAACAAATATATTGAATGTAGATAACACAAATAATGCAATATAAAAGAGTTTTATGAACAATTAAACAATCACAAAGTCATGTCAATCGGGCAGAGATTATGAACAACTAACAGTATAAATAGAGCATAGAATAAAATCTATCTAACCGGTAGAGAAATCCTTGACAAGCAATAAATATATTGGGTTCGGAGGTTATTTTTTAAATATATTAAAATGAAAACAATAGTTAGATACCAGTCCTTTATAGGGCCATTCGGTCCAATTTTCATAACGGAGAGCTCTTAATTGCTATCGGAGGATAATTTCAATAGTTTGCACAAGGCTAAATAGATAAAACATTCTTTATTAACATACTATGAAAAAATATTATTAACTTGCCATATCTCCAGTGATATCTAATAATTAACCTACCTAAAGATAATTTCCTACAGATAATAGTGCTATTATCATGCAATCACAAGTGGAATATGAAAATATTGTAATTCATTTGTATATAGTAAGACAAGAAATACATAATAAATGAATTCCCTTAATTCTCTTAACTGATTACCATATTTTAGCCAGTGGACACTTAGAAAAAATACTATATAAAGATAGTTGTTGGTTAGACACTATATCAGTGAAATAAAGAAAGTTTTATAAAAGAAATGGCAATTCCTAAAAGTATTTTGCTCATTATTGGTGTTATGGCTGCTTTATTTTCTATAGCTTTGGCTACTCCAGGGACTGCCACATTTTATACGAACTATGTTCGTAAGTATTTTAGTTTTCTTTCATTAAAATTTTAATAGACCAAAACAAAATGGGATTTACGTTGTATGCATCGAGTAGTATAATTTTCTTTACTCTATAAGTAAATTTTAATTTATAATATCAAGTTAGTTATCATTTTATTAGGTTATCATAATTTATAACCCTGTATATGACTTGATATTTTTCACTACCAACGCTATAATTTAAACTTATAAAAGAGCTTTATTGATATGAAAAAACAGTATGAAAAATGATTTGCATATTCCTTTTTATGAAAAATAAAAAATAAAAAGGTTATTGATGATACATGAGTCATTTGACTTTAGAAACAAAACAAGAACAATTGTTTTATTCAAGTGAGCAACAACGCAAATGTCTCATTCAATTATTTGCTTAATATCATAATTTTTTTTTTATAACTAATTCTGAACTTGTTTAGAACTGAGGCTTAATTATTATTATTATTGGTGCAGCTTCAGCATGTTATGGAAACACACCCCAAGGTACCATTATAGCAGCAGCAAGTGATCCTCTTTGGAATAATGGTGCAATATGTGGCAAAACATTCAATGTCACATGCACTGGTCCAACAAATCCAGTGCCACACCCTTGCACTGGCAAGAGTATTGTGGTAAAGATTGTTGATCATTGCCCTGGATGTGGTGGGACCCTAGATCTATCTAAAGAAGCCTTCTCAACCATTGCTAATCCTGTTGCTGGCGTTATTAAGATCGACTATGTCCAGTAAGTAACGGTTTTCAACACATATATAAATCTATACTCTTTATTGAAAATACTAAATTCTAGGGGTGTGCATTCGATTTATCGATTCGATTTTGACCCTTATCGATAATTACTTATCGATTATCGATTTGTACATATGCTTATCGTTATCGTTTTAATAAGGTTTCGATTTTTTCGGTTTCGATGTATCGATTTTGGGGACTTATCGATTCGGTTATCGATTACACCAATAAGAAAATTTGCGGGATTCCACGGAAAGTATATCGCTATAAACGCGCCTAACTAATATGGACAAAAAGAAGCTAAAATAAGACGAACACCATTTATAATATAAAAATTGTGTCAACAAGCACATGCAACAAAACTAAAGTAAGGGATCAAATGTATGCCACCAACACTCCAACGGTATAAAAAAACAAAACAAAATAAAATACATCATCACGGCTAATTCTGTTTTCCATTAATTTGAAATTCATTCCCTTGATCTTTAAATATGATCATTCCTTAAATGTGGTAGAGGAAATAATAGGGTAAGGGACTTAGGGTAAAGGAAAGGGTATAGATTAGGGAAAATAATATTGTATAGCCGCTTTCAAAATAGTAGCGGAATATATATACATTCTGTATGTTATATTAATCTACACAAATAGGTAATTACTCATTTAACAAGTATCTACAGTGAAGGGGTGTGCATTCGATTTATCGATTCGATTTTGACCCTTATCGATAATTACTTATCGATTATCGATTTGTACATATGCTTATTGTTATCGTTTCAATAAGGTTTCGATTTTTTCGATTTCGATTTCGATAACAAATAATCGATTCGATTTATCGATAAACCGATTCGAATGCACACCCCTACTAAATTCAGTTGAACCATTTAACTATATGTTGTATATGCCACTGAGTATATTATTTTACGATTTTCAGGACATCATGAGAGCATCAAAGGCGCATGGTATTCCAATTTATTCTATATATAGCATGTTTAAAATATATTCCATAGTGAAGTTGATTTGATCAATAATTCACAGTTGAATGTATGTATTTGATCAATTCTAAGAATAAAAGTTCATCTTTTCCTTTCTCTTTGTTCTATGTTGGAAAATATTGAGCATGTTTTATCGAGCGCAAGCTATTTATCACATGAAGATTGCAAGGCACGAGTTTTTTATTTTTATTTTTTTTACATGGGAGAGAAAGGATAAGACAGCGATCATTTGGATTCTATTAGCAATGAGGATTCAGAATATCAAACATTGATTAATCAAAGAGAGATTCAACAACGAAAGGGAAGATCGATTATTTGGGATCATTCCTTTCTTCAAACGAAATGAAAAGAGATAGAATCGGGCTGATTCAGGAAATGCCTTTCTGAATATTTGCCACAAATAAGTTTCAGCTACGAAACTCTTCTCAACGTGTCACGACCCGGATTTCCCACCCTCGGGAGTCGTAATGGCGCCTACTGATGAGAGCTAGGCAAGCCAACCCTTAGCTACCTTTAGCATTAACCAATTTGCTTCTTTTAACAATTATCGGTAATATCATAAAAACAGCGGAATAACGTAAATAAGCGAAAGTCTTAAATTAAAGAATCTGAACAACAATGCGGAAACTCAACATAAACCTCTACCCAAGAACTGGTGTCACATACTCACGAACTACTAAGAGTGCTAAATACAACCGTTTGAAAGAAAATATAACTGTTTGTCTCGAAATACATGAGATAACAGACTGAAATAAAAGATAGAAGAGACGTCGGGCCTGCGGACGCCTGCAAGTCTACCTCGGTGTCTCGCTGGACTGAAGGCTAACTCCTGCGCTACTACTGCGCACCGTATGCTGCTCAGGTACCTGCATCTGTGCAAAAGAGTACAGAGTGTAGCATCAGCACAACCGACCCCATGTGCTGGTAAGTGTCTGGCCTAACCCCGACAAGGTAGTGACGAGGCTAGGACCAGACCACCAAATAAACCTGTACAGTGATATGATATACAACAGAAAGTAAAGCAGGAATAAACAAGTAGAGGTGGGAGGGGGAAACATGCTCCGGGGAATAGCAGGTAAAATCAGAATATCAAGAGAACTATAAAGTAAACAAAATCCAACCACTACCAAGAATAAAGAAAACAAAGGCAAAATTCGCTTTCCTTTCCCATCTTGTTGCAGGCGTGCAACCCGATCCCATTTCCTGTATCTCGTGGCAGGCGTGCCACCCGCTCCCATTTCATTATATCTCGTGGTACGCTTACCACCCGCTCCCATTTCATTATGTCTTTGTTGCGGCGTGCAACCCGATCCGTGTATAACACTGTTGCGGCGTGCAACCCGATCCTTTATAATGTTGTTGCGGCGTGCAACCCGATCCATATATAATATTGTTGCGGCGTGCAACCCGATCCATATATAATACTGTTGCGGCGTGCAACCCGATCCATATATAATATTGTTGCGGCGTGCAACCCGATCCGTATACAATATTTACAATTATAAAGAGAGCCCCGACAAGGGATCAATAAGGTCCACACTATCCCGATAAGGGATTCGATAGCATGAGTAATTACGTCCCGGCAAGGGAGAAACATCTATAACCACACTTGTCCCAACATCTAACTACCGCAGCTATAACCGATCTTGTTACAACATCTAACTGCCTCAACTATAATCAATCCTGTTACAACATCTAACTACCACAACTATGATCGATCCTGTTACAACATCTAACTACCACAACTATAATCAAACTTGTTACTACACCTAACCACCTCAGCTATAACCAAACCTATTACAACACCTAACTACCTCAGCTATAACTTTAGTCCTTACTCAACACAAGGAATCATTTAAACTAAGCATCCGTAATATCAATTAAGAACACAATACATGGGAACCACAACTCGACTATAGCCCGCCAAGGGACAGCATAATGATCTTTTCTCTTCTCACTTTTACTTCACAATTCACTTCACAACTCGAGCCAATGCTCTAGAGGTTCAACTATCACTTATACTTTCGCAATGCGTTCTACGACTGGAGCCAATGCTCCTCAATATTCATAAGTCACGATTCTTTCCACTACTTCGCACAACAAGTAGAAATACTCACCAAGGCATGAATAATACAACAAGGTCATGAAAATCACAATATAGGACTCACGGTCATGCTTGACACCAACGTATAGATACTCGTCACCTTGCCTATACGTCGTATTCGACAATTACGACATAGCAAATATGACTCAACTCCTAATCCCTCAAGCTAAGGATAGACCGAACACTTACCTCGATGCTTTAAATTCAACTCAAGTCTCAATTATAGCTTTTCTCCTCGATTCCACCACCAATCCGCTCGAATCTAGTCACAAGTTACTTAATTACATCAATAAACGCTGAATGAATCAATTTGCATGCATAAAAATGAATTTCCCAAAGTTTTGCCCAAAAATTCCAAAATTGCCCCCGGGCCCACGTGGTCAAAACCCGAGGTTCGAACCAAAACCCGGCTACCCATTCCCCCACGAAGCCAAATATATGATTTTTTTTGAAATCGGACCTCAAATTGAGGTCCAAATCCGCAATTTTAGAAAAAACCTAGGTTCTACCCAAAACCCCCAATTTCTCCCATGAAAATCTTTGATATTAAGTTCAAAACATGTTAAATGATGCTAATGATTGAAATAAATGAGTAAAAATCAACTTACAATTGATTTGGAAGAAAACTTGTTCTTGAAAAATCGCCCCAAGAAGTTTGTGTGTTGAAAGAATGTTGAAAATGGTTCAAAATTCGGCTAAGTGTAAAATATGCAGGTTGCAGATATGGGATTTGCGAACTGGGGTTCGCAACCTGTTATGGGAATTGCGAGAAAATAGTTCGCATTTGCGAACCCTTTCCAAAATCCCAGGTTCGCATTTGCGACCAGTTATGTCGTATTTGCGACTTGCCCCTATTCGCATTTGTGAACAAGTAGGTCGCATTTGCGATCAGGCAGTCGAATCCCTAGTCTCGCATTTGCGAGCTCGCATTAGCGAGACCTTCTGCGCAAATGCGAAGATACCAGAACTGAAATGCAGTTTTTTTTTACAAAGGTTAAAAATGCACTCACGGCCTATCCAAAATTCACCCGAGCCCTCGGGGCTCCAAACCAAACATACACACAACCTCAAAAACATCCTATGGACTTATTCGTGCAATCAAATCACTAATATAACATTATAAACATCAAATTAAGCCTCAAAATCCATGATTTTCTTTCAAATTTCATAAAACATCAAACTTTCCATTTTAAGTCCGAAACACGTCAAACGACGTCCGTTTTCAACCAAACTTTACAGAAAGTGCTTAAACCATATATAAGACCTGTACCGGGCACCGGAACCAAAATACGGGCCTGATACCATCACTTTCCAATCAGTTTTCATTTCCAATTTCCTTAAATATTTTCAGAAAACAATTTTACTCAAAAATTCATTTCTCGAGCTTGGGACCTCGGAATTCGATTTCAGGCATACGCCCAAGTCCCATATTTTCCTACGGACCCTTCGGTACCGTCAAATCACGGGTTCGGGTCCGTTTACCCAAAATGTTGACCGAAGTCAAATTTATTCATTTTAATATCAAAATTTAGCATTTTTCACAGAAATTCATATTTAGACTTTTCGGCTACGCGCCCGGACTGCGCACGCAAATTGAGGCGACCCTAAATGAGGTTTTCAAGGCCTCGGAAGTACAAAATGGGTAAGAAAACAGGTGATGACCCTTTGGATCGTCACATTCTCCACCTCTAAAATAATTGTTCGTCCTCGAACGGACAAATGAAAGAAGTACCTGAGTCGGGAAAATATGAGGATGAGTCGGGAAAATATGAGGATAACGGCTCCGCATATCGGACTTGGACTCCCAGGTCGATGCCTCAGGAGGCTGACCTCTCCACTGAACACGAACAGAAGGAAACCTCTTGGACCTCAACTGACGAACCTGCCGGTCTAGAATAGCTACCGGCTCCTCCTCATAAGACAAGTCCTTGTCCAACTGGACAGTGATGAAATCTAACACGTGGGTTGGATCGCCGTGATACCTCCGAAGCATGGACACATGAATCACTGGATGTACGACTGATAAGCTCGGCAGCAAAGCATGTCTATAAGCCACCTCTCCCACTCGATTAAGAATCTCAAACGGAGCAATGAACCTAGGGCTAAGCTTGCCCTTCTTCCAAAACCTCATTACGCCCTTCATAGGTGACACTCGGAGCAATACCCGTTCACCAACCATAAATGCCACATCTCGAACCTTGCAGCTGCATAACTCTTTTGCCTAAACTGAGCTGAACGAAGCCTATCCTGAATGGTCTTGACCTTGTCCAAGGCCTCCTGAACCAGGTCCGTACCCAACAACCGAGCCTCTCCCGGCTCAAACCATCCAACCGGAGACCGACACCGCCTACAATATAAGGCCTCATAAGGAGCCATCTGAATGCTCGACTGGTAACTGTTGTTGTAGGCAAACTCCGCTAGAGGGAAGAAGTGATCCCATGAACCTCCAAAGTAAATAACACAAGCTCGGAGCATATCCTCCAAAATCTGAATAGTCCGCTCGGACTGACCGTCCGTCTGGGGATGAAATGCTGCGCTTAACTCAACCCGTGTGCCCAACTCTCGCTGAACTGCTCTCCAGAAGTGCGAGGTAAACTGTGTACCCCGCTCCAAAATGATAGATACGGGCACACCATGAAGGCGAAAGATCTCCCAAATATAGATCTCAACCAACCTCTCAAAAGAATAGGAGACTGCCACAGGAATGAAATGTGATGACTTGGTCAGCCTATCAATAATGACCCAAACTGCGTCAAACTTCTTCCGGGTCAACAGAAGTCCAGTAACAAAGTCCATAATAATCCGCTCCCACTTCCATTCGGGAAGCTCAGTCCTCTGAAATACACCGCCAGGCCTCTAATACTCGTACTTAACATTTATCATTTGGAATTATTTCCTTGGGATTATTTGATGTATTTGAGCTAATTTTGGCTAGTTTCGAGCTGTTAGGAGGTAGGTACGTGTGGGAGGACATTTTTGGAGCATCGTTGGCTTGCTCGGTATTGGATTTGGCTTGTTCGAGGAAAGTAATACTTCTAAACTTAGTGATGAGGGTATGAAACCCCCAATTATGTGTTATGTGATTAGTGTTGAGGTGACGCACATGCTAGGTGACGGGTGTGTGGGCGTGCACCATGTGAATTGTGACTCTATTATCTCTGTGGTACTGTGTAGTTACCTAATCTTCCTGTAACCATGAAATTTCTATGTACTTGAGCTATTGAGCTGTGATCCATGCTAGAATCCATGTCTAGGCTGCATGCTTATCCTGTTGGGACCCACCGAGGTCATTTCTGCTGTTGAGCTATCTGCTTTCATTGCATTACATAGTCATACACATTCATATGCATATCATATCTCAGTCTCTACTACGGTCTATTGACACATCATATCATTATTTTTGGGCTGCTATTTCATGACATTGGGAGCCCGAGAGACTGGAGAAATTGATGACTGAGTGAGGCCAAGGGCCTGATTGTGAGGATATTCATACTATATCACGTCAGTTGTCCGTGCAGCATATGAGTTGTATCAGAGCTCTAGGTGTATAGGTTCTACAAGTCATGAGCAAGTATCTAGTAGAGTCTTGTGGATCGATATGATGACGTCCATACCTATCTTCGAGAGTCTACAGCACAATTAGGATATACTTCCCATCTTTCTTTCCTTATCGTGCGGCATTGATTCGGTTTGAAACGTAACTCTTTGAATTCCTTCCATGCGTATGTGAGCGCTCAGTATCGGCTATGTATCGACACCTTGTGATTCCATGGATGAGGTGTGAGATGTGATTTTTGTGTGCTGATGATGGGCCAATCTGGAGGACTTGAGGCCGAGTTTTGACTGTGGCTTGGCCACAGAGATTTTGGTTGAGTGAGCACGTGCTTTTAGACTTATATATCTGGTAGTGTCTCTACTAGTGAAATTTGTGATTAGATGACTATGTGATAAGTATGAAGTGATCGCGAGATTAGTTCAGATTGTTCGAATGTGATGAGAAGAGTTTGCTTGAGATGTACAAAGGGCTATTGGGTGCTTGATTTCCATATTTATTGGACATATAGTCTCGAGTTATGAGTATATTGGAGGATCTTTCATGTTGTTTAACTGTGGAATGAATTAGGTTCTCATGCCTTGTTAGTGAGTTCAGACTCAAGAAGATTAAGTGATTGCGTAGTAGTTGTAACTGTGGAAGGGTATGGATAGATGTGAGTTCGAGGCAAACAGGTGGGTTGTCTCCTGCAAGGGTCCTGAGGTTACGTCATCCCTATATTATTTGTAAAGAGTTCTCTTTTACCAGTGAATTATATATGTTGCAATTTGAGTTTGGATCTCTTATGGGAGTTGACTTAGCTGTTACTAGGGTGAATGCGAGATTTGCAGATAATTTGAGGTATTAGGTGGTCTGTGTTACATGAGCTTATGAAGGATTTATTTGAATCTCACTACGGTATTATGGCTGTAATAAAGTACGGGAATTGTGAGTCATCGAGAGTTTTGATCTATGGATTTGGGCCAAGTGGGGGAGTCTGCTATCGACGAGTTGATTGCATGGTTATATGCTGTAATGGTTTCAGTTTGAGGTATATTTGTGAATCAGTTATGACTTACAGAGGTTGAGATCGGGGATGACTTGAATAAGGAAATTTTTAGATACGGGTTGTATTACACTCTATGGGTATATGGAAATCATGGAATGATCAAGTGTCACTACAGGAAAATAGGTTTTTAACGATGGGAAATTCGGTCGTTAAAACTCTAAATATGGTCGTTATCAATCAATTACGATGGGATAAAAACCGATCGTCGCCTGTCGTTAGTGTCTCCGTCGTTAAAGGAAAACGACCGAATTTTGATCCTATCGTAAAAACTCTTTTAACGATGGAAAGGAATCCAGTCGTTATACCAACATTAGCGAGGGGATTTTCCCATCATTAAATGTCATTCCAGTCGTTAAACACTTCACTAGCAATAACTAATTTTCAGTCGTTATTAGTGTTTGGCGACCGGAATTCCATTCGTTATTCGTATGTACTTTCAACGACATAAAACCCAAAATTTTCTTTAGCTAATAATGTAAAATTTAAATTAATAAATATATTACACACATTCAAAATCATACAAAGAATGAAGTCAATATCGACATAAAACATCTTTTTTAATTATAAAGAATTAAAACATCAAAAAATATATTACATCCAAATTGCATGATCCTTTTGTTTCAATTCCTTAAAGAAAACAAAAAACTAAAGAGAAAGCGAAATAGTATAGTTTGTACGGATGATGACTACAACTCCTAATAAAACAAAATAGATTTCCCTTGTTCTTCAATAATTCCACATGCTTCGACTTGCTCGAAACTCTCTTGAAGGATGATTGTTCAAACTTCAGGCCCTTTATCTGTTAAAAAAACTTGTTGAGTAAAAAAATAAGATTTAAGATTGGTAATTAAGTCGCTACCACACGGTAAAATGTAAAACCACAAAGCAAAGAACATTTCAAAATACTATGAATAATTATATGCTTCTTACAACTAAATCCAACATTAAGAGTATCATGAAACATATTACTGATGCTCGCCAACAGTATAATAGCCAATACATTGGGAGAAAATGATATCATATATAAAAAAGTATTACTATTCCCTCCTGAGAATCATGTAGCAGTAGCTAGCAGTGGCTGGACATGTTAAAAAACATGGAAAAGAATCAGCTATTGTAGTTTCATCTTTAGGAGCTACTCTTCCTTTGAATGCATCATGTGATAGAGCTACTGCTGAGCAAATATATTGTGGTCAGGAGCAGCCTAACATGCAGGTGTTTCCAGCTGAGCAAGAGAAAGGAACCAGAACAATGATCGACCTACTGCACACTAGGTGACTTAGCTGGAAAACTACCAGGTTTTAGGGATGAAGCTGGTGCAAAAAGAACCGAAGATGGGAACATCGTGCATGCTAATCCTAAGACTACTGGGGTTACATCTATTAAATAGACCCTCTGCTCAGGAAAATAAGACAAGAAAAACATAAGTCAATTTCTTTGGTTTCCTGAAAATTCAAACTAAAGATAGAAAGGCCATGCTTGTACAGAAAATGGCGCATAGTAACTGACACGTACTTCTATCATCCAACATATCCCCTCTTTTTGTAAAGTAACTATATACTTAATATGCATACTTCACTCCAAATTCCTTCTAGGGTTAGCCAAAATAGAAAAGAATGATGTTAAAATGAAAAGGGAAAGCTTATATACATACCTCGTACACCAAGGTGCTGAAGGTTTTTTTTACTTTTGTCTTTCCTATAAAACTATATGGCACAACAACAAACATAAAAAACAACTATAATGAAAATTAACTCTAGTTGCTATTTCTCTAGGTATTTTCCAGTATAGTACGTTAGTGCTATTCAGAGACTCAGCATGCAGGTTCGCTATGGATCACATGTACTGCTCTATATGAAATCTGAAGGATTGAACATAAAGGTTCTCATAAATTCTGAAGTTGATGGATTTTAGCCTCATCGAAATTCCCTTAACTTGGAAAGATTAATTTCAAGTCTAGCATAACAAATTAAGAACAAAATCCGATTTCGGCCATCATTAGCACAAGGATATCAAAAATCTCTAGCTGGTCGATAGGTTCAACTATATATTCATCCGCAAAACTTGGAGCACTCCTATCTCGGCGCTCCTTCTTCTCATACACAATAGGGTTGGCATTTATCAATTCAGAAACCATTTTCAGGTCCAACTTTGATAAAATTCACCCTACAGTTTGAAAAGAGAACGAACACGGGAAATAGATGTGTCAACTCAGTCAAAGAAGAAACAACTCCAAAAGAAAAAGAAAAGAGTAGAACACTTTCCACCTCACTAGCAGTAAGAAGCAATTGTTTGAGTTGCTTAGCACCACTTAACCAAAAAGAACTAGAAATGACAGTAACCATACAAAGAGTAGAACAACAGTAAATACTTGAATATGCTATTCCATACAGAGACATATCAATAATTTACAATAATCACATATATATCAAAGGGAATAAATAAATGACAGTAACCATAATACTTCAAAGCCAGAACTAGAAAAGATACAACCTCAAAACTGTCAAGAACCTATATTTTTATGGCAGCATTAGATGAAATCAAAAGCTCATTTATGAAAAAATAATTAAGTACCGTAAACTTAAGGGCTTAACCCAAGTAAACGAGAAGTTTTATTTTGTGTCTCATACAACTGACACTAGTTGTATGAGGCTCCTTTTTGTCTCACAAATTTGTGGACCCCAATCTTACACTTCTGGGTCCACAAAATTGTGAGACAAAAAAATTATCTCATACAACTAGCGTCAGTTGTATGAGACACAAAATAAAATTTTCCCAAGTAAACATAGTAAAGGACCAGATGAGAAAAGACAAACTTTTTCTTGTCAATGTCAGGAATGTCACTTCTTTCTAGTTCAGTACTTTATTTAACTAACAAAAAAAGATTACACTAAACTATTCATCATGTAAAAATTGGTAGAAAGCTTACGCACTGTCAAATACTTTAACTTGTACTTTGTTGACTTGTAGATGGTGTTGATGAAGGTTGATCAACCAATAAGCTTATAAGATGATCATACTTAGACTCAAAGTCGTCCATACGTTTTTCCAGAGAGTCTTTTTGCTTTTTTAGTTGCATTCAGCTCGGTTTGTAGTGATTCTTTTTCTTTTCGAGTTGCATTTAGCTCAATCAGGATTGCAGCCTTTGAGGAGCTACCACCTTTCAACTCCTTAGTGGTTATACCACCCCCTAATTCAACCACATGACTCTTGCTTTGAGGTCCGAAACACCTTTCTGTTACCTCGATATTTGTAAGAGATGGCTCAGACTGTACCAGCTCTTGTATTTCAGCCTATAAAATACAAGAAAATTTGAAATAACAAAATACATAACTATAAAATGAAGGATGTAAAATAAAGTACATCAATAAACATACATATTTTTTACTAGCTTCAGGTTCTACAAGCGTGTCGTCTTTCTTGTGAGTCTCAAAGAATATAGTTGCCATGTTCGGTGGATTACCGTCTTTGCCTCCATTCACATTTAAATAAACAAGTCAAACAAAGACATTAAACACTGCCTGAAGATCCCACCTTAGTTTGGAGCAAGTTGCATCAGAACCTGCCTCAGTAGTGCGGGACTGCAAGGCTTATTAGTAACAATTTTAACCACCAAGTTAATTGTAATTGCTACTATCCTCAGGTGTTACGGATAAGATGCAGCATTTCCTAGACATCAAATCTGATATATTTATGACTTCTTTGTATGTTTTAAAAAAAGTGTTTTGCATATTAAATAAGAGACAGAGGAGATTGATGAACTTATAAAGCTCTAATTTATGCCTCCCTTTTGCATCTAGTGTAAAAAAGAGATGAAATAGACATAAGGTAAATATAGCCATTAAGGAAAATTCAGGATCATTTGGAGCTACATGGATGCAGGCTACTTCAATCCAACTCTACCAAAAGCCAGCAATTATGATATGCATTAAGCTATGAAATTACGGAGCACTGAAACTAAAGTAAGCAGCAAGTGATCTACTGCAGCAGAACAATCACTATTGTTCTGTTGCATTTTAGTATCAATCACTATTATTCTGCAGCAGAAGAGTCACTATTAATCACCAAGTTATATAGTACCAGTCAAGTCCTTTACTTCCATATTATTCTGTTGCATTTTTTTTAGAATTAGTAATTCTGTAACATTGCTAAACCAAACATGTAAAATCAAAGCCAATAAACAGTGTAGGTTGCAGTTCAAGGTGCAAAAATTAAACTGGAAAAAGCACTCTTCAGCGGATATGAATCGGATTGTTGTGCTCTTACCAGTTCGTAAATAATTTCTCTAATCGGCTTGCTACCCGTACGATGAGGCATTCTCAACTTAGACCTATTGATCGAGTTTCTAATACTTGCTTCCTACATTAAGAACAAACCATTGAAATCATGAATTGTTACTTACAATAATAATAAGTTAAAAAGTAGTTATGAAGTCTTACCTTTAAAATTTTCACTTAAAAAATATTCTTTGACCAACCATTCCCAATCACTCTTGTCTACCTCCTTCGGAACACCTTTTAGATCTTCATGCAATGGCTTAAACTTTACATACTTGTGCAATGATCCTCTCCAATTGGTCCATAACTTTTTCATATGGTTTAAGACATGATCTCTTTGATGATTCATGTCATCACTGTCAAATTTGTCCTACAATATTTTGCAAAATCATCAATCAAGAAAGGAAAGGACGTGAAATTATCAAAAGGCAAATTAGTAATGCAACCACTTTGCCATGAATTAATAATATAAACTAAATATGTATTGTAGGTTAAATCTCACGGTACCTGGCCAAAAAACATGATTTTGTAGGAGCTAGGAGAAGAATGGAAATTGATTTTGAGTTACTTCTATGGATTTAGGGTTTAGATTCATGTACACATTCAAAGATCTAAATCCACTGCAGTAAAATCACAGAGGCAGTAGCTTTTACATCAACATGATTCTCTTATAGAATACAACTCATTGATTTTGAGTCATATGTTTCTCATACAATAGTTCAGGCTTAACCAACATACAGCAAATAAGCAGTTAGTTATTTCATCAAATAATTAGCATATGCATTAACCAACAGTGGGGTGTGCACAGTGTTTTGGATAGCAGAGGCGCTCGCCTCTCGCTGCACAACGCCTCTTGCTACACAAGCAGAGGCGCTCGCCTTTTACAATCGCAACGCAACAGAGCCAAAATAGTGCAGGCTGCTCGCATCGCCTCACCTCACTATGGTTGCAGTCCATTTTCCTTTTAATACGTAAAAGTACTGCTACTGTATGTTGTTACATATAAAAGTCTCTTAAGATTCTTTCTAAAACATAGAAGTGTCTAAAGTTTCATTTTCTTAAGCTGACTAAATACCCTCTGTTACAGGTTATTTGAAGCTAAATAAGTTGGAAGGGAAACCAACCACTAGAATCTATATATGCAAACATTATCTGAAGAGGAACTTAATTAGTTGTTATCCCAGCATTTATGCATCTACATTAGAAAAACAATTTCCTTTCCAGAAAGATAGGAAAAGAAAAAGCTAAATATATAACTGGGGTAATGGAAACCTCCTTGCAGTTTTGGAACTAATATTTAAAAAGCTTAGCTATTACAAACATATTTTATTTTACTAATAAAAAAGCATCCTTGCTTACAACTAAAGAGTTAATTGATAATTATAGAGAACTCTTGTAAATAACTATATGAGTGATTAAGACTTAAGACGAGCACAGTGCATCTCTAATCCTAGTTTGTTGTAATCATTTATCGGGCTGGTATAGTGACTTTCAGATTTTAAAATCTATGAGAAGAAAAGTTGATCAAGATAGCAAGTTCAAAACTCTTGATGAAGTTCGGAGTGATCAAAGTACCCAAAATCTAAACCCGCTAATTTAGAATAACTCACTAACAGAGATTCAAGACAACTTATAAATGCAAAAAACCAGCTTAAAAACAAAGATTCACAGAAGATGTGCTGTTAAATAAAGAAAGCCACTCAAGACATTGCCTTCATTAATAAATTTTTAACTATGGAAGAGAAGATGTGCTGCTAAATATGGCCAGCTAAAGTTCTCTTTCTCAAGAGTGGTCTTCAAGATTATATCCCATGAAATCTTTTCCTGAAAACAACAATTCAACCAAGAAAGTATTGCTTTAATAATGGTTTAAATACTTACTGTAACAGCTCGCCACATGTGTTCCAGCTTATCTTCTCCGATGTCCTTCCATGAATGTACTTGCAACAGACACATATTACGATCACGAACTAATATACCCAAGCGTCTCGAAAATGAGGCTTGATGCTTTCCAACAACCCGATTGTTGTAAAAGTTAACTCTAAACTTTTCTCCGGGTTTGAGTCCTGCTACATCTTTATTCTTGTTCTTTCCTCTCACCTTTTTTGGCTCTTCAGGTTCACATAAATCTGCAAATTTTTAACATAAAATAAATTCCATTCTTATAACGAACAAAAAATATATTAAACTTGAGACCTTGCATCATTTAATCTTCTTGAGCAAGGGAAACATCATCTTCCATCGGATCGAAACTAGGAGGCATAAGATTAGTACTAATATGCGCTAGCTTATTCTGCTCAGAAGCTGTTGAGTTGTGATTTTTACTTTCACCAACCAGATTTCTCTTTCCAACGCTTCCTTTTGCCGAGCCCAAAGATCTTAAGTTTTGCCCATGTCAAGGCCCCAGTTCGCCCTCCGTGAACAGGTCGTGACAGCACCTAGTCCCTATGACTAGGAAAGCCTAACAATGCGGAAGATAAACCATAGTTGCGGAACAAAGTAAATAAAACTGAACTAGAAAAATAAAACGGTGTTTAAGGTGTCGCTCGACACATACCACAACAATTCTCGAAGCTAACAACATTCCCAAAACCCGGAAACTCATAAATCACAAGCTAAGGGATACATAAGAGGCTCTGACTCAAGAATATCTATATAAGGGAGAAATAGTGAAAGAGCTATACTTATTACAGAAAACTGGAAAGGGACTCCTCGGCCTGCGGACGTAGCAGATATATGTGACGACCCAAAGGGTCATAACCTGTATTCCTACTCACTCTGCATTTCTGAGGCCGTGAAAACCTCACTTGGGGGTTGCCTCGAGTTTGTGTGCGCAGTCCGGGCGCGTAGCCGGAACGTTTAAATATGAATTTGTGAGAAAAATAATAAAATTTTGATGTTTTAATTGATTAAGTTTGACTTCGGTCAACGTTTTGGGCAAACGGACCCGGACTCGTGATTCGACAGTCCCGGAGGGTTCGTAGGAAAATATGAGACTTGGGGGTGTGCCGGGAATCAAATTCCGAGGTCCCGAGTCCGAGGAATGAATTTTTACGTGAAATTGTTTTCTGAAAATAATTAAAGAATTGGAAAGTGTTATTTTTTTAGAAGACTGTGCTGTTGGGCTCGTATTTTGGTTCCGACGCCCGGCACAAGTCTTAAATATGAGTTAAACAATTGCTGTGTAGTTTGGTTAGATTTGGGCGTCATTTGAGGTGTTTTGAGCTAGAAGCAGTAAAATTTGACGTTTCATGGAAATTGGAAGGAAATCATGGGTCTTGAGGCCTAATTCGATGTTGTTTTGGCAATTTGATCGCACGGATGAATCCGTAGGATGTTTTTGGAGTTATGTGCATGTTTGGTTTGGAGCCCCGAGGGCTCGGGTGGGTTTTGAGTGGATCCCAGGAGGGTCTTAGACTTAAAAGTATCAGAAATTTGCAGGTCCAGGTGTTGAAGGGCCCCCAGCACGGCCGCGGTCATTTCCGCGCGGTCCGCGCTGGAAGCCGCGCGGTCGCGGTGCATTTCTGCGCGGTCCGCGTGGCTAGATTCAGAGGGGGGTCTTGGGTTCATTCAACCAGCGCGGCCGCACACCAAATTAGTGCGGTCCGCGCTGGGTAGGTTCAGAGAGTCATTTTTCTTCCCTTCCTCGGCGTGACCGCGGTGCATTTTTGTGCGGTCCGCGTCAGCCTTCAGTAAAGTATATAAAGTCGGGATTTTCAGTCATTTTTCACTTTTTTTCAAAACCCAAAACATAAGAGGCGATTTTCCAAACGATTCTACTTCTTCAAAACGATTGGTGAGTGATCTCTAACTGATTTTCTATACTCCTTAACATCCTTAAACACAATTTCAAACTTCAAAACAAAGATTTTAATGGGGAAATTGAGAATTTAGGGTAGAACCTAGGTTTTCTAAAATTGGGGGTTTTGGACCTCAATTCGAGGTCCAATTCCAAAATAACTTACATATTTGAGTTCATGGGGGAATGGGTAATCGGGTTTTGGTTCGAACCTCGGGTTTTGACCACGTGGGCCCGGGGGCGTTTTTTGGGAAATTTTGAGTAAAACTTTGGGAAATTCACTTTTCATGCATTCAAATTTATTAGATTAGCCTTTGTTGATACACTCAAGTAATTTGTGACTAGATTCGAGCGGTTTGGTGGTGAATTCGAAGGGTAAAGCTATACTAGAGGATTGAGTTGAGTTTGGAGCATTTAAGGTAAGTATTTGATCTAACTTTGGCTTGAAGGAATATGATTAGAGTGTTATTATTTGCTAATTGCTAAAAGGTCGAGTACGGTGTATAGGCATGGTGACGAGTATCTATACACCGGTGTCTAGCATGACCGTGGGTCCTTGTATGCACTTATCCTGATATTGTTATGACTCCTCCATGTTAATTGATGAATTTTATGCAATGTGAAGAGCATGAGAACTAATTATGAATTGCAAATCCTTTGGAGCGTTGGCTCGAACGATAAAAAGACTATTGAGTAAGAAATGAAAGAAATATAAAGGGATATGATTAATCCCTTGTCGGGATGGTTTGAGTATATTGATTATTTCCTTTGCCGGGATGTGAAAGTATTGTTGTTGCTCCCTTGCCGGGAGTTAGCTGTTAATTGTGTAATTTCCTTGCCGGGATAGTTCTTATTATTTGTTTATCCCCTCGCCCCGTTTCGTTGTGATTATTGTTTGGGTGAGGAAGAGTGATAATGCACGAAGGGTCACTCCGTGCCATGTTTTGATTATATTTGCACGAAGGGTCATTCCGTGCCATGTTTTGATTATATTTGCATGAAGGGTCATTCCGTGCCATGTTTTGGTTATATTTGCACGAAGGATCATTCCGTGCCATGATATGAAAGTTACGTGAGGGAAAGCACGAAGGGTGATGCCGTGCACTTTATTTGATTGCTTTGGTGAGAATGAGAGTAAAAGCACGAAGGTTGATGCCGTGCAACTGTTGATTGTCCTGCTCTCATTAATTATTGTTATTGCCTTGTTTCTTATTTAAATTGTTGACTTTATCTCCGGACTGTACTTCCCCATAGTATGCTTCCCTCTCTCTTAACTATTAAACTTCTGTATTCTTTCCTTGTATTGCATATATATATATATATATATATATATATATATATATATATATATACATTGAACTGCACAGGTTGATTTGGTAGTCCTGTCTAGCCTCGTCACTACTTCGCCGGGGTTAGGCCGGCACTTACCAGCACATGGGGTCGATTGTGCTGAATGCTAACACTTCTGTGCTCTTTTTGCACAGATCACGGTACCGGAGCTTCTTTTGGACCACAGCAGTAGGATATCGATCGGGAGCTGACTTCAGTCCAGGGACTTACGAGGTAGCCTAGCTGGCGTTCGCAGGCCGGAGTCCCTTT